ACGGCGGAAAGACGCTGTAGACAGACAGACAGATATGTACGGGTCCATTCGGTGAAGAGCACCTGATACCGTATTTACCCGATTTTAAGACGCGCTTTCTTCACATTTCAAAACTTCTGAAATCAGGGTCGTCTTACGTTTGATGGCATCTAAGAATCGATATAGATAACCTACCAGTAGATTAAGGGTGCGTCTTAAAATCGAGGATGTACGGTAATAGAAAATGATTACGTCGTGATCGCGCGAGATATTTTGTAGTTGCAACTCAGAAATTGTTGTATCTTGAATTTTTGTTAAAAACAGGGTTAGAGTCGAGTCAGTGCGGTTCAGGGCGGAGCCTTGATTGCTGCTTTCTGAGTGTCTGTGAACGTCCTGGTACTTATTTTGAAAACAGTACTATCAAACATAGTACGAAGTATGGAACTTGTAGTTTGTTTAATTCTGACCTCTTGGTTTGAGGAGAAAGTGCCATCCCCTTTAAGTAGCTAGGCCTGAGTGCATTTCGTGAGCTTCTTATTGTGTTTAGCGATAAATCCTCTCTTTTATTATGATTTAGGCCCACTTTTTTCAACTTAGAACTGCGTTCTAGACCGCCTTGGCACTTATATTTTTAGGACTACATCCAGCCGGTAGTACCAGGTGTATCTTTCGTCCTAGACGGTCCGGCCCCTTCCACCCAAATTATCAATATTTGACACTAACTGACCGATTTTCATTAAACTTAGTATGTAAAGGAGCCTTCTGTGCCACTAGAGAATTTCCCACCTACGCACATTTTAACTGTCAATCGTCGATATTAACAACATGGAGTCTGTGCGAACTTGTCAAGCAACATTATGCCATTCAACATAGGGTATTGTGGTTTCGTACGATGCTTGATCTTAGGAAATTATGAAGATCTAACTTCTATGAAGACCTTTTTTTATAAAAATATAAAATAACAGTAAGACGACGGCTCGAAATATTTTAGTAAGGTAATGAACTTTGCGTGGTATATTTATGTTATAAAGACATCTGTTAATAATATACGAGGGGCTTCAAACCTACACTGTTTAGTTCTTCGGAACCCTGATATGCGTCATTCTAGTGATGATACGTTTAATGTTGTCTCATTATATTGAATCATTTATTTGCTTGACAGAGTCGTGTGCTTAAAATAAATAGTCCAAAAGGAAAATAATTCCTTAGGCTTATATAATCTTTTCATCTTCTTCGGCCTTCTATCTATCATCTTTATCCTCATCACCGTCAAAGCAATAAAGAGTTTGGCTGTTCGGTCGAATTTGATCGCCAAACGTATCGACTGCAGCTAAAATGGACGTCGCTGCGCAGCTGTAGGCAAACGCATTAGGTACAAATCGTCTTTTGAAGATTATTTTACTAACAGAGTGCAAACGTTGCCTTCTGTAATGCTGAGATAGGATTAATAAAGTAGAAGGTGGCTGTTAAAATTGTCCGGTCTAAATGAAAATTTAATTTTTTTTTTGTAAAATTATCCAATAAGAATTTTAATCAAAATCCCTTTATCTATTTTCGAGTTGTTTTATACTTGCCGACAAACGGACAGACGGAAAAAGCGATTTTGACTGTGTGAAGCCCAGTGGGAACTATATACACCGCCTGCTTTAACAATCAGTAACTCTGGCTTTTGTATTGATGGGTTACGTATGATTCTCAGTGCAAACGGCCATTATTTCCTTGAATAACATTAACCTTGTTTTTTGTGATGGCGAAGTGCTGTTTTTTCTTAGGTACGGACAGAATTCCTAAATATTATTAGACAAGCTGCAGCTTCAAAGAGCTCTCTGCCAGGTTTCATTTAAGGAAATAGTCGCTGTTTATTCTGAAAATTATACCAAATACACAAATATAATTTGTGCGGAAAGTTCAGAGCTATTTGTGTTAAAACAAGAATGACATATAATGTCCACGTTGTGCTTTGTATGGTTAAACTACACGGAGAAGCTTAAACAATATTCTCAGAGATAAAATCGAACCTCTGGCTCCAGCGAGCGACCGGTCTAAGATAATGTGTATTAACTGCATGACCTCCGAAATTAGTTTCCTTTGTGTTTATAAAAATATTTAAATTAGATTAAATTAATGTAAATATGTGCAGTTAGATTTTACTTGTTTATACTGCATCGCACAAGAAGAAGTTTCCATTTTAAAATTAGCTGTCATTAAACATAAGTGGGTATTAAGAGTCAGATAAACTTCAGAAACTTGTAGTCGATAGTTGCAGAACTGAGGGTTTACGAGTGGACCCATTAGTGGCCCATTTCTCCACAGAAGCAGTTTCACCCAGCGCAACAATAATAGAGCAATGCTACCTAAATTGCTTTAGTTTCGATTCAAGACAGTGACGTAAGAATAACAGAAGTAGCCGGGCACAGACGAGACAGTATTAGCGATACATGCATAGAACAAACCGAAATACGTCACTGAATTTCATAATGTATCTGTCATTCTGTTACTATTATATGTATTCGGTGAAGGAGCTGGACCCAGCCTGGCTATTAAGCCGTCTACAACCGCCTACGAAATTCTGTTCAGGCTATGTGCTTAACATTAGAGACAGAGAAGTTGCCGTACCTTCGCGGCGATCTGATTCATTCAAAAAGACTTTTGATAGCAAAATTCTATCTACATGACTTGATTCATTCTACTTTTTTACCTACGGCACATTCATTAAACAATAGTAATAATTCAAATAATAATTTAATTAGTTATTATTAGTGTGCTGTATCAACAGCCAGAAGGCCAATTACAGATAATAACAATAATAATAATAATAATAATAATAATCGCATGGAACGATTACAATAAACATGTCAGTGACCTGATTCACTCTCTGACCTTATTTACCTTCATACAATGCATTTATGTCGGTCCTATGGTGTTCTGGATGCAGTGGGGAATTCCTGCCAAGTATTCAACTCCCAACAAATATGTCTGCTTCTTACAGTCGAGGTATACGACTCACAAATTGTGTGTATAAATTAAAAGACAGAGACAGCATCCTTTAAAAATTACACAGCTATAAAAGTGTGAGTACTTGTCTGCGGAAGTCACAGAAGGATATGAACGCAATTGTTTTAGTGATAAGCAAAACAATAAGTAGACCGATAATGTACATCAGTGAACACGAACTTAGGGATGGCCATCTTGGCAGCGTAGTGTTTGGTGTCCCCTTAGGAAGTATTGATTTTACTGTCAGGCTTCAACTAAATTTTGTTGAGTATATTTTGAAGTGTATATTCATACATTTTCTTCAGTTACTAAAACTGATTAAGGCCCGATTGTTAATGCATTATAACATTTAAAACATGTGTGCTTGTATGTACTGAATTACTTAAAATATGCAACTATGTATAAAACATTAAGACAAATGTCATTATCAACTGATATATTTCTGATTAGACATACGCCTCGTTCATGTTCCATATTCTGTATTCAACTCTTTGTTTGTTTTCAGTAGGCAAGTAAGATTAACTTCGGGATCTATTTATTTTTTGTGTATATACTCTACCTTCTCAGCAAATGAATCTTCTGGAATTTTTGTGTAAGTGGTGTCATTTCGTGCACCACAATACGTAACTTTACGTGAGTAAACTCTTTACAACCCAGTGGTAATACGACTTACTTTAAAACGTGAAAATATAATTAAAATATGGACAACGATTTTTTGTGATCTTGAATCTTAGTCTTGTGATGCATATAAAATCATGCATACAAACAAAAACTGTTTACACTTTGAAAAGACACTTAGTGTCAAACGCGTTTCGACCTCAAGAGGTCATCATCAGTGGCAAACAAATTAATTCACATTAAATCATACAATTCATGATGTTCTGTTTTAAGATATTAAATGTTGTTATCATTGGTTGGTGCTCTGTTCGCAAAACTACTGAAATATTTCCTTTCCCTCAGGTTTAACTTTATGACTGCAAAACGCCTGTGTTAATGGATCAGTCAACGTAGTACCCACTTTGATTCAGAATGCATTGTTTATGTCTACCGATCACAGCGGCCGCGTTGTATGACGTGGGGCTTGTCCACTCGAACAGAGAGACTGAGTGTTAGAGGGTTCGAATCCCACTCGCGGTATGGTTGTTTGTCTCTTCCTTATATGTTGCATTATCCTGTATAGGTAGAGGCCTTGATAAGTAAGGACCTCCGTCAAAGGAGTCCTACCAAGTGTCGGAAAGAGGACTCAAAATCTGGCAGAAATATTCTAGAATAATACCAAGGTTCAAGTTGAGCTATAACGCCAAGACAAGCATGCGCACACACAGAGACACATTATTTATGTTTTGTAAGCTCCGAGGTCAAGAAAGAGTAGGAGCTATACTTCCACTCCTCCCAAGCGCCTGCATGGCGTATAGTGGGACAACTTCAATTCTCTTTAAACCGCTACATTTGTATTCTTTAAAATGGGAGGAGATTTGTGCTCAAGCCTATACCAATGCTATTGCTAATTTAATTTTGTGTTCAATTATTCTTAGTTTCTGTTTTTGTTTTTAATTTATCTTATTGTGTTGATTCTGTAACCTGTTGTATCTGTGGGCTAGCACATTAAAATAAAGACTTGAATTTAAGAACTGAATTGAGTTATTGTCATTATCATTGTCAACTCTGCTGTACTTTAAATCGAATAACAATTGTTACTGATACTGAAATAAGTGGCTGGGGCTTGGACGATCAGACTTCGACTCCCAGTAGGAGCAGTGATTTTTCTCTTCGTTACTGCATCCACTCTGGGGCCCAACCAGCATCCATCCAGAGAGTGAGGCCCTGGAACGCCATCCCCGGAGGTAAAGCGGTAGGAGTGTGAGGTAACTATTCACCTTCATCACCTCAGCCATACGTTTTCACGGCATGATGCTTAGGGTAGAGGCAGCTTTGCATTTGTATCATAAGGAATCGCAGTTGTATTGTGTTCCTCTCAAGCTCTGCGTCGTAGCCAAATTGTTGCAATAGTTCTGCTCAAACTGTACTGCAGGATTGCTAGGGGCCCAGCGAGCCGAGGCCAAGCTGAGTGAGACCGACGAAGTTAGTAGGCTAGCTCGGTAGGGGCGACAGAATTTGTCATATGGTACAGTAATTCTCAACCTGTTAGATTGTTCCTTGAATATGATCCTCTAGCTTCAAGGCGTGTACAGAGTGATTAGCAGAGTTCAGTATGTGAACTACAGTGGTCCTGGATTAATATCTACGACTGTGATGCATATTCCCGACATTTTATAGCTTCGTGTTTCACACGGTATATGGATCAGACTGTGGTTAAGTGTTTTTAACCTAATCATCTTTTCTCGGTGTTCTCGTTAAAGAGCATAGACGCTGGCAATCTTTCTTCTTAAATTACGGGCTGCAGGTTGCAATCCTATTGGAAGATAGATGCTTCTTTCTCCAGACGGCATAATACCTATTTCTCATCTCCTTTCATGATTTTATTTCATTACTTTTTTTTTACGAATCACTGCAATTGAAATGCGACTACAGACCGTTTCAAACACACTCGTGTGAATGACGGGTAAAATCACAATACATTCTTCAGCCTTCCTGATCTGTGTAAAAATCCCGAATACAAGGCATATATGATAAAAAAGATGGCTGATTATTGGATTATTTAACTAAGCTATTTTAGTCGAATAGGTTCTACAGAGTCTCCTGCTTCGTATTCCGGAAGTTTCTGGTTTAAATCTAGGCTCGAAGAAGGGATCACTGACTGAGCCCGTCGTGGCTTTCTCAGGCCCTCCTTTCTGATTAAACAGTATAATTTGATGCTTTGTAATCTAAGTTACTTGCAGCGTAAATAAGAGAAATACAACATCTGATACTTGAATTCCAGTTGCGGTCATCTGTGTTGCGACGTTGTGCTGTCTTTTCGGTTGATGACAGCGTTTCGGAGGAAAATATCGCATTCATCTTCAGCGAGGGTACGTTCCTCCGAAACGATGGCAACTACCTACAAGACAACACGACGTCACAACACAGAAGACCACATTAGACTTTTCACCTCCATGAGAACCTCAAATCTCTAATGCTTGGATTATGAAGTGAAAGGAAGCGTCTGTGAACTATTTCAAGGCACTGTCCCATATTTTGATTGGAGACACTGAGGTAAATCACGAAGAATCACAGTCAGAATTGCAGGTCTGTATGCTGCGAACGAACCCGGGCCCTCCTGAGTGTAATGCAATGGTGCTAAATTTTTCTTGAAAAACGACGTCTGTTTTATTGATCACTAATTATTTTAATTGCACGTGACCGTATTTATCACATACAATAATTTCAAAAACCCGGCTTCAATATAAACTCCATTCTGCATAAATGAATGGTGGTTTAACAATTATCTGCAACTGCTGAATTGAACGACAGAAAGGAAGATTTGAGGGACAAAACGGGAGAATCCAAAAACTTCCTGCTGTGCACTTTATTTTTACATGCTCATATTTTCTACGAGAAATCAGGTTAGTGAGCTGAAGTCAGTAGAGACTAGATGCCGTTTTAAAGGAAGTAACCCCATTCATTTTGTAATAAATATCGAGGTAAATGCCACCAATTATGTTTTAAAAAATCCTGTTAGTAAAGAAGTAAACGTATTTTCATACTGTGTGCCAATATATGCCTACCTCTGTCAAATATAAGGTGAAATACATGCGGCTCTATACGTATAGGAGGGTTATTATAACTTAAATTCGAATGTTTCTCCCACTTGTTTGAAAACCTTTTAAATCGGTGGTGTTGGAATTCGTACGTTTTTAACACTTTAGTTCGTGTTTAAAATCTTATTCTAGATTTTTATTTATTGGCACATCGCACAACTCAGAGGTGGATTTCTTTTTGTGTCTGGTGGGAATTAATATGCAACCTAACAAATAAACACCGGACTTTATCGATATTCAGTTAGATTATGTTGATCATTTCTGCGCTTAAAACTTGTGTTACGTTTCAATGGCTAATGAAATATAGGTTTCTAAACAATTCTGTATTTTTAAGTAGTATACGGTCATAATATGCTATGTACAATACACAACGCATGCTGCTGTTTGTTGTGTCCTTAGTTGTGAATTTCTTGGATTGGTACTGATTGCTTTCCACACTGCATGCATGTAATGATTGACCGATTCCTCCTCATAACTGTTTCTTTTAGTAAAAGTTCGGATCGTGTAACATTTCCTTCATGGGAAAGAATTCCAAGGTCACATTTCCAGGCAAATGTACCCGATAATATTCGATTATAACCAGGCTCTTCAGTGTAATCGGGACTTCGGGGAATAGTTGCTTCTTTAATGCTATTAAAGTGCATTTAATTTTAATTTTGTGTTGTTGGAATATAAGAACGAACTTCGTTGGTTAATAAATGCGCTTTTAAACGCCCCCTTTGTGATTTGTTATTTGTATAGAACATAGTATACATACAAACTATGACGAATATCTGTAAGGTCTAGAATACTGCTTCTAGAACATTTATTCTCACCCGTATGGAGGAGCGCATACGGTCGATTCTTCAGTATCTTGGCAATCTTCCCAAAGAGCTAGGAAGTGTGTAGTTTTTGTACTAAATCCTTCGTGGCTGTTGACGCTACAAGATACGGTTGGGTCGTTCTAAATACTATTCGTGCGCATGAGCCTTGAATATGTAGCACATCCATGTTAACAACCGCAATAACAATATCCTATTGCAATTGTTGATTCGGTGAGTGAGTCCAAATCAGAATTGTTATGTACCCTTGAATCGAATTTTGTAAGGGATTTAGGGTGTACCATTTAATTAGGAAATGGAAACAGAAACACGAAGGAATTTAATTAGGCCTATGGTAACACTACTGTGTGTAAAAACATGGACGAAGAGCTCCGCCATACCTGTTTTAAAGTCAGAGAGGGGTGTCTGCAGCGGAAAATGGAGGAGGTTCTAATGCAACCGGAAGCATATCTTACAATGGAGGGTAAACCGGTTTTATAAGGTTTCAGAAAACATTCATGCTGTTTGAATGTTTTACCTGAAAGTGGTTTGTAAATAAGCACATGCGTTCAGCCATGACAGTACTTCAAAATGTTTTCACATGTTCGTCCTTATGTTTTCTTCAACATTTCTGGTTTCAGCAACAAAGAAGCATCCATCTTGGTCTTTGGAGCCTCCTTATGACCTTACTGGTATGGATACGGGCATATTTTCGAAAATATTCGTTAATCTAATTTTCAACTAATTTGAGGTTGGCCGTTGTTAAAATGAAACAATAGTGTTGACATTTGGGATTTCGTGAAAATATGTAGCAATTAATGGAGTATGAGGTTAGGTTAGTGTATAGATCTCAGGAACGAATTGTCGCATTGTCAAATTTTACGATTATAAGGCACGATAAGAAATTAATACTGTTTATCGTTTTAAAAATGTAATTCTTACAGCCAAAGCCAAACGACAAGTGATCATGGTCCTGAAAATAACTTGTCGAGTCACATTTTAGAAATGTGATCCCAAAATGGATGCGTATGCACACATTCGCAAAAGACCTTGGAATTATATGTTCTAGCCTCAATGCGAGGTACATAAAATTTCTTATGACGTCATCACAATGATGGCGTAGTGTTTTTATTGTAGCCACATGGCATTCTGTGATTGGCTAGTGCCTTGCTATGACTGCCATTTGACGAGAATGACTCACAGGTGGAGAAAAACGGGTATTGAGAAAATGGATGCCCTGTATGCGAGGCTAGGTGGGGCATTTCCCTTTGGCTTTCAAATCGAAGGGAAGAAATGTGTGACGTTCTGTACACGAATAGAAAAAGTGGGCATTGCTATACGTACGATAATTTTATTAAGTGTTGTGTTATCGTGTAATAGTTACACAGGATGTATCATAGTAAAGAAGAAGTAGCTGTTATATGCTATTACTGTTTATAAATGTACAGTCGCTTTCCTCATTTCAATTGTTAGATGGCTGAAGCGACGTGAAAGTATAATGGCGTTACCCTCAGTTGCCGCCTTGCCGACCAGCGCGAAGCCAACGACAACATTGCCAGGTAACAGTACTTAAATAAAGAAACGTTACGAATAATGTAAACAAAAAGAGATCTGTAATGTAGTATTGATGATATTTTAATTTTCGACAAGTCACTTAGCTATTAATATGTGAATTCAGTTTATCCAATGGTATTCGTTTATCAGAAAGGACTTTCGTCGCGAAAATTGTTCAGCAGAAAACGACGTCAGTGTTTTAGGTTTATGTGCTGATTTTCAACCATTACTCGTTGATGCTTATTAAACGTTTATGTATATAGGGCACAAAACATTGACCTCATTATTATATCAGTGCACATGTCATAAAAATTGCAGCATCTGTCAAACGAAAACATATTCTGCCTGGAGTTGCATCAAACACGATCTGAAGTGTGATTTGAAATATTCTATTAATGGTAATGCTGCTGCTGTTGTTACTTGCTCATAGCAGGTTTGTGTAACTGGATGAAGGAAGTGAAAATTAGGTTATAACTTTGTGTCTGATATTTCAGACAACTTTGTTGTTAAAATGTTTTTCCTGATAACTGCATGTGTGAGGGGTGTAGTGTTTACATTCTTGTAGTGGATGTTTTTTACAAGCAAATGAATGAATAACTAAGTAAATAAATATAAATATATTATGGTACTAATAAGCTGCTTATTTTGTCTAGGCTTCGAAAACGTGACAGTTAAACAAGAAAGACCAGATGAGGCAGAAATCCGAGAATTGGCAGCAAAAATGGTGGAAGCAAATAAGGCGAAGATGGCTTCCAGTACAGCGCGTGCTGGTGGTCAAATGCAACAACAGGTTGTGCAACCAGGACAGCCCGGGATAATGAACTACCTAACAAGGGGTTCAAATGGTCAAACTAAACCAGGTAGTGAGAAGGACAGTAAATCTGGGACAGGGGGAGAATCTGACAAAAAGCCACCATGTGATGAAGATAGTGTGAGAGGCAGGTTTGGTTGGGTAACCCTTGGTAAATGTCATATCCCTTATATCTTCCGGTATGGTGAAAAGTACTGTGCAGTGCGGATGGTAGAAATGAAACTCCTTAATAAGTACCTGAGTTATCTACATTCAGACATTTATAGCTGCACCTGCATTCGTAGTTATTACATTACGGATACTGAAGCAAGACTTTTGAATGAGGTAAATGTGAGACACTGTGAAAGTCAATTTGGGCGAGATCCTTTTACATCCAAGGACTTAGTTGTGCGTTTGCAGGATGCAGGAGAGTTTTATAACTTTCTGGATGTGTGTTACAACAAACTTCTTCTTAGCTCAAGCAATCCAAAGGACAAATGTGGTTTTATCCGCATCAATGGTGAGTCTGTGGTACCATACACTGTGCGAGATGGATTTAAGTATGTCCCACTTTTCTATTTTGAAGGTGAGACAGATAATTTGAAACTTAAAGCAGAGAAGCTAGAAGGCTGGGACCTGGCATATTTAAAGTTTTGTTGTAAAGTGCAAGGAATTCGCAACGAACTGTTTGCCAGTGAGACATGTTCAGTTATAAGTTTGAGTGATATTAAAAGTTACTTTCCACCAGGGACTGTGTTTGAAGATTACTGGCCAAGCAAAGTGGTAGATTCACAGCTTCTGCTTGCCAGCAATAAAGGTAATGCAGCTGTGACGAGTGCAGGAATGTGGACTAAGCAGCCTGGTTTGCCACCAACACAGCAGCAGCAACAGCAACAGCAACAACAGCAACAACAACAACAACAACATTCCACCATTGCAAATACCACTCCTCACCATCAGGTGGCAGCTGGTAATAAAGTAGTGACTGTTCCCTCTCAACCTGCCACACAACAACGGACATCTACCCTTTCTTCTGCCACTATGGCTCCTCCAGTCAATATGAGTGCAGCAGCTGTTCAGGCAGTGTGTAATGGCTGGGCAGGTCTTGTTGGTGGGCAACCAGCATTTCAGCCAGGGATGGTTCCACAACCTGGACAAGTTATCCGAATGTCACAGCCACCCATCCCAATGCATAATGTAAGTTTATTTTTTTAACCGAGTTTTATTTGACTATAATAATATAATATAGTATGGTAGCAATGCAAGTTTGGGTGAAGAAGAAATTCTTTCCACTATATTTGCCGATATTTTAGGTTAAAGAACCTGATGACAGTTTATAATTTAAACTACAACAAAACAATCAAGTCTAATATCGTGCTTTAGCACACTGTTGTGGTATTTAGGAAATAAATAAGAATGATGTAGTATGTTTATTGTTGCCTTTGGGGTTATGGTGCTGTGTGGTCTTTAGGTGGTTACCAATGTTCAGGAGGTGTTTAATGCCTCTGTCTTGACTTCTACATGTACAGTCATCTTTTAAGTAAAATACATGTTTATTGTCAACATTGCATTCTTATTTTCTGAGTCTTCTGTACCAGATCAATTGACAGTGTTTTATTTAATAAAACGTTCTGTAACACAAGAAAAAATGTATAGTCAACATGGCCAAGTATGGAGTACTAAAAATTACCTTATTTTGTATGAGCACCTGTTACACTCTTTAAATAAGTGTGGTATGGAGTTTCAACTCTTCTTGTAATGTAATGATGCTTGTAAAAAGAGACATTTTAATCACTCAGCTATCCACATTTCCATACTTGGCTGATGCATGCTATGGACAATTCAGGAAAGTTTCAGTTTCCAGTGGTTATGAACAATAAATAATGCTACATGTGTTTGTTTTATAATTCTTTGGACCAGTTTTAAATGAAATATAATATGTTTCTGATGGCTTGTTTTACTTTTTGATCACTCTGTAGCTTTATACAATACATATTTATATTTCTGATTGGTTGTTTGACTTTTTGATAACTGTGTAGTTGAGTGATGATGGTAGACAAATACTTTTGAGATTATACGGCAGTGACAGTTTGATAACTGAATTTTAACCTAGAAGAATCTTTCAGCTGATTTTATAGTTCATGAGTTATTGGTGATAAGTGCATTTCTGCATATGCTGCATCATGGATATTTATTCTGACAAGTTGGTGTTTTTGTTATTGTGGACAGACTTGTTTGGACATACTGTCTTTCTTACTCCATTAGCATAATCTACTGACGTTACTAGGAGCACATCAAACCTAACCTCCATCTTGTTTAATTTCTATTGTTCATACTACAGTATTAATATTTTTATTTGTAACTTTCTTTTCTCCAGCTTGAATGAACTTAAACTGAAATAGTAAGTAGGTTGGGTAGGTGTATTAGGCAGTAATGAATCATATGTTGTCATAGTCAATCATTACACATGCTAGTTGTAATGTCATGTATAGATGGTAGATGTGCTGTAAAAGAGTTAAATGTTCCTTCTTTCACTTATAATAATGAGGAAAGGATTGAACAAATTGACAACCATACATAGAGACCTAATCAATTTCATTTGTTTGTTTCCCTTGTAATCTTAATGTGTTCACTTGCTAGTGGTTGCTTTTTTTAACACAGTATATATCTGCAGCAATCATTCTATTTTTTATAAGGAGTAAAATATCTTGGAAATTTCTTTGAAAGTTTTTAATGTTATGTTTCCAGCTTAGTCCCACCAGCAACAATGTTGCGAGATCTTATAACCCAGTTCGGCCAAGGCCTGCTCCCCAGTATTACCCACAGGTGAGGAAACAGTGATCAGTTTGATACAATTTGTTTATATTAGAAATTGAAGAAACTGTCTGCATTTGCACCTGGTTGTAAAGAATGCATGAATGTATACCACAATTACTTGTTTCACTCTTTTTTCTCTTGTTTGCAGAGAGCCAGATAATTTTTTGACCTCAGAGTTCTGTAGTTCATTGTCTAATAAAAAATTATTGTGTGTGTTTTGTGATGTAAGGTAGCTATTTTTCTTCATGCAGGTTATACTGTTTTTTAAATTGTGTGCAGGTCACACAACACTTTGGTGGGCTGTGGGTTGCAAACCCCTGCTGTTGAAGTTGTGTCAGTGCTGTGTAGGTATTCGCAAGTGTCAGCTATGTTTCGGAAATTTTTCCATAAAAAAATGTTTTTTCTTTAAATTTCATTATTATTAGAGATGGAAAAGTTACACTATAGTTGTCAATTTTTATAGTTAAATTATAGGTTAAAAATTATCAAGTATTATTTCTTGGTCCAGGTGTCCTTGTCTATGCCCATGGCACCAACACAGCAGAGTCATATGGCAGTAGCGCAACCCCCTCCACTAGTCAGGGTCACAGGGGCACCTCCTACAATAGGGTAAGTGTTTTCACAATTTTGCAATAATTTGTTTTGACTGTATTTTCAAGATGCCCCACAGATACAGAAGTTTGACTGTCATTGGCATGACATATTCTTTGCCTAGTTAGTGTAATTTTTGGATTAAGGCCATTGATCCACTGCACACTGCACATTGTGTTTTTCAGGTGATACACCATGTTGTGTTCCATATGTGCATTATTGATACAGTGGGCATGTTGAATAGATTTAATGTGGAAGTACAGTATATTTTAGACTGCTAATCACAAGGCTTTTATTAGAACTCAGAATACCTATACACACTGTCTGTTACTCTGATATGATCTTGGCAGTGTGGACAGACATCAGCTAAACATATGGGCTTTGTCAAAAATAAGAGGCTTTAAATGTGCATTGTGTTTTCTCAACTGGAATACATCAGTTTCTAGCCACAGACTTGCACCATATACTTCAGCATGTCCCCACATTGCCAAGGTTAAAGGTTTTCTCTTGATTTACAAACAGTTACTTATTAATATGACATAACTATCAAAATAACATCTAATTTACAGTTGCAGGTAAATGTTAAAAACTGTAGTTATCCTGCATTGTTCATCATTTTAGAAACATTTTCAGAGGTCCCTATCACATGTTAATAAATCTATGAAAAGTTTACAAATAATTATATTTCTTAAATTTTTTATATGTTTGTGTCTATTAGCATGTGATTTGTGACTATATAGGTAATTATAAGCTAAAGCTTACTTGTTTTATCCTATTTTTAAAAACCTTTATGTCTTGTTAGGTATTATACGTTAACTTTTAAATTGACAATATACTCTCCTGAAATTCAAAAATGTATAGTGGTATTTTGTGTTTATGTGGTGTTTTCAATGTTGCTTTATAGTTTTATTTTCATCGTTATTTTGCATAGTTGTGCTGTCTGGTGGGTTATGAATTATTATTGGCTGCAAATATAATAGTTTTTGTTGAATTCATTTGGATTATCGGTGTTCAGTAAACTAAGTAGCACAACAGAAATCACTTTCATTACTATAAGAGGCATACCTGGTGTGCAGCAAAACCAGAGTGATGCTGATTTTTTTTGATTATGAGGATATTGTGCTTCACGGAGTGAATGTATTGTGTTAAGCTGTCTCTCGTGCAGTGCGTAATGAATGGTGACAAAAGTAGGAATCTTGCAAGTGAGAAATTTACTCTCAAACCTAATCCACTCACTATTTTCTGCTATAAAATCAGTAGTTTATAATTCTGCCACCTCATCTTTGAGATTGCTTGTTATTGAAATACTTTACCTGAGGCGTGCTGGCAAAAGCAGCACTGGATTGGAGGTGATATTGACTATCGCACAGTTGCCGGTGAAAGGGTTAAATTAAAGAGGTTTTCTTATTTGAAATATCTCCGTGGGCAACATAACACTGCATCACGAGCTACAGGTTGGACAGGCCTCTTCTAATATATATATATATATATATATACATTGATGTCACGATATAAAAGACAGTGATGCTCAAGTTGCCAATTAAATTATTTGAATTATTGTACTTGGTCTTTAATTATTAATACTATAGTATTGTTTGTGGAGTGAAGTGTATTATCAGTTTAATATACTCTGGCTAGCCGCAGTGGCCATGCGGTCTGAGGCATGGACCTCGTGTGCCTGGCCGCTGGGACCGTGGGTTTGAGTCCCACTCAAGGCATGGATGTTTGTCCGCGTCTTTCTGTGTTTGTATAGGTGGAGGCCTTGCGTCAGGCTGATCACTCATCCAAGGAGTCCTTCCATTGTCCAAATAGATCAAGAATGAATAAATAAAAACCTTGACACCTACGGGTAAAAGAGGATTAGAGAAAAAGAGAATATTCTCTGCTGCTTAATTCCATCCAAAAATGTGTACTTTTATGTCTGCACCCTGAAATGAGACACCCATTATAAGCTTGTTTTACAGAAAGTTTCTCACTGTACTGCTGCCACAGTAATTAGGTCACTGAGTTTATTAAATAAGGAAGCCTGCTTTTCTTGAATTTTCCGTGAGATTCTGTTTGCCGTCATCAAATTATGGTTAAGAGTGTAATAATTCGTCTGGGAAGTGAACTGATTTCATAGTGTGTATTTGATGACTAGCTTATGAACAATGCAGTGGATCTCTGCAATGTTTTGTACATGTTATTATGATCAATTTGCTCCTAGTTTTTAGCATTAGCCATCTCTAGTGGTAGAATCTGTTGTCCTGAGTGTATGAGTCTGCCTGCTCCTTGACATCCTATTTTACACATGCACTGTCTCTTTTAGTTATCCTACATATGGAAAGGATGAGTGGTAAGTGATTCACTGGAGAACTGTGTTTAAAATACATAGTAAAGAGCAGGGTGGTCCAGTAGATGAATATTCATGCAATTATCTTACATCATGTAATGGTTGACCTTTAAGATGCTTTTGTGACTGCTTACTTTTGCTCACTTGTGTCATATTTGTAAGCATGCAGTGTGGGATGGTGTCATACTAGTACAATTTTCTCTTACATTGATAGCATTTTCTTTCTAAGGAAAAGAGTACTGGTGTTATTTGTTATATTGTAGAGTACAAGGCACTTTTTCGTGAAAAATTCTGCATGTCTTATAAGTCAAAGGTGTATTCAGGCAGATATTTTTCCTAAAGTTTTCCCCCTAAAGTCTGTTTGAGTCCTATAGTCTAGAACAGTGGTATTCAACCTGGGGTACGCGAAGACATCTTAGGGGGTACGTGAAATTAAAAAAAAATTTTTTTTGATAAACATTGAATAATAGGTAATGTAATTTATTTAATTTATTTCAGATGTAGATTATATACTGACTTATAACTTATATAACTTGAATTATACACCAACAACTTTGGGGGTACAAAGTTGAAGAGAAATTATATCTGGGGTATGCGAAAAAAAAAGTTGAATACCACTGGTCTAGAAAATACTGTTATTGTTGAATTTGTGTTTATTTTGAATACAAAATTATGTAATTTTAGTGATATAAATTTTCCAAACATTATCACAAGTAGTTAAAAGGTAATGGACTTAAAAGATTTTGATTTTTGTGGGCATGTTTTTGTAGGAATTGTGTTTGAAATAAACACATTTCAGTAAAACTGAATACAGGCAAAGTGTGATCAATAACAAGATTCAATATAAAGTTGGATAGCAGTGAAAAAGAATATCTCTTGTGTTACGACTCAAACCTGTAACATTATACTTGTCAATAATGTATCATGAGTTACTAAATTAGGAAAATTACAGGCAGAATTGAATTGGATTTTTAGGCTTATGCTATATAGTTAAGTTGCAGACTGCTGATATTCTTATACTGTTAAAGGATCCGTATTCAGGGTACATTTGCTATGGGTTTTTGTGGTTGTGATTTTCAAATTTGTGACTAGTTGGCTGTCTTCAATTACACATTCTTGAACCTAATTACTGCAGAGGTAAAATTAGTAAAGTTACATCTGAAGTTCAGAAGGCTTTTCTGACTTCAGCAAGCTTGTAAAGTGTATGATGTACCAGAATACACATAACATTCTCTTTCATTCCTTGCAGTGTGCATTTAGAGGCATTATATCTGCTTTGTTTAGTAGTTCCTAAGTTGCCACCAGATCACAACACCAGATTGTGTAACTCGTGTGTTTACTCATTCGTAATTTTGTTATTGCCACTCGTAGGATGTTCAGAAGTATGATTTTGAGGTCGTGCAGAATAACACTCACAGTATCCATATCACGTTTAGTCCATATCTGGCCAGTGGTTCTCACAGTTAAATCGACTGGATGGACAGACAGACATGACCAACCCATAATGCGTTCTCACTGTGCACTTAATGCAAAGAACGCGTAAAAACTACACTTGAAATACCAGCCCTCTTCAATTTATTGTTGTTAATGTTGCTAGTTTGTACTTGCACTACATCCTAATTATAGTATGGAACTTGTTTTAATATAGAACTATTTTGGAATCCAAAATTTGGGTACAGTGTATGTAATTCTGAAAATGGCCTCGACTGTGTGAACTGTGGTACATTGGGGAATGCATGTGACTCAACTAGCTTGTACTGTGCGTAAAAATGGCAAGAGATTATTAAAATTGTGTGTTTACTGTGCCATTTGTACTTCCATTATCTATAAACTATTATTTAGCCCTGAAGATGAAGGCAGTACGATCCTCTGAGACATTGCAAACATTTGGTATTCAACTACAAGTTCACAGTATTATAACCCAGAAGACTATCAACTTAATTCATATTCTTTGCATAAGCCTTGCGAGAGTTTTTGGCTAAAATTAGTTAAATTGTAAGAATAGATGGAAGCTACTATGACTTGAACACTGAATGTTGTTTTTATGTACTATATAAGTAATTTCTGTTTGTATATAGTTATTTTTATTGAAATTGTTCACAGATACATAATACTGATAGCTTAACCCGAAGTTCGTACCAACCAATGCATACAAATTAGATAACTTTTTTCTGCCAGTGTTGTACCCATGGATGTGCATGCGCAGAAACATTAGGTAAAAACTTTCATTGTTGGTCTTATGGGTTTTAACACCATTTGGACATGTAGGTAGGTAGCATCATTTCATAGGAACATACTACCTCCACCTTTAGCACTTTGATATCTGCCTACAACAAGTCTTCATGGTGATATAACCCAGATGACCAACATCATAATATTCTCTGCTGTGAGAGGCTCAGATCTATTTTATGGGGCTGTAATTTTATTGACTTCTCGAGGAAGAATGCTGCTAGACGCCATCTTCAGATAGGCCTGCTCCAGCTTCTTTGTATTTATAATTCATATTTATAGTAATAATTGTAACATGTCACACTGCCCGAATGAAATTATTAAAAAAATTAATAAAAAGTAAGCCATAATCTTGATGGTAAGACTTCAGGTTAAGAAATGAATGCTTCCGATGCCTCACATAGTATTTATTTCTTCATTTCAGGTCATCATGTACATACACTTCATCAACTGGACTGAGCAATATGCCAAATGTGACTCAGAGTTCCTTGCATCTGATGGGCCTTAATGATCCTTCCCACCACCAGATGCTTCCCCCTCCTCCTCATTCAACCTCGCTTCTCCACTCGCAACATTCTCCACATTACACGCCAACTGTGGTTGGTTCACCTCAAGCACAGCAAAGGCATACACCTCCAAACAACAGCGGTAGCAGCAACACCAGCAGTAACAACAGCGGTAATTCCAACAAGTTCCCTCCTCCTCTCATCCCAGTCAATGGGACATCCCGCTATTCGTCTGCCGGTGGAGTCTACGGTTCAGGTGCTGATGTGATAGATCTCTCTTCTCCACCACAGTCACCTCATAGGCCAAATATGGGTAATGGAAGGAACAGTAGCACTAACAACAATGACCAGTCATCTCCATGTGGCCGGAAACTCATACAAATTGGGGAGACATCAACTTCAGGCTCTCACATACCATATCAGGTGGGAAGGTTTTTGTCTTATTTGTTTGCTAAAGAAGAGTCATACTTGTGCAGCTGTTATTGTCAGTTTCGTTGCTTGCCTTCAGTTCCTATGCCTGATTTAATTTCCATGATATGGCATTGAGATGTGTTTGAAATACAAAGCTCATGAGAAATCTCTTGGTCTTATATGTAGTATGTCTAATATGTTGCTTCTTGTCCTTAGGTTGTTGTGGCTGTAGTACAGTGTGTATAAATTTGGCTTTTGGATATAGGTCATGTTGGATTTTGAGAATTACTCAGTGTTTCAGCAAACACTTTATTTGACATCTTCAGGATGACTGTATAGAGTTTGGGCACTTTTGGAAGCCTTATAATAAGTGGCGAGTCAGTCATATTTGTTTTGTCATTACTGACTATTTTATAACTTTCACTACAGTAGTTTGGATTTGGCGCTCAATATTGTCCTTCCCTATTGGATGTTATCACCCGCATAAATGAACGTCAAGATGCACTCAGACGAACAACGCGCCATGTCCTCACACGAGTTGCAAAGTACATTGATGTTGATGGTGGAATTTTCAAAAATGTATTATACTAGGTAAACTGTACCAACTTTGGCACTTGAACAATAAATACCGGTATTGAAAAAAGTACGTAATATCTCTTTCTTATCAACAATTTTGCAACTATACAGTGAAATAGCTGTATCTGAGAAACCGTTTGGAATAGGACACATGTACATATAGACTTTTTTGCTTAGAATGACCGATACTATGACCTCCCAGAATATTGAACTTTCTTCCTGGGACACCCTGTGTTTAAATGAAGTCAGTACCAGGAGGTCGAGAAAGTTTTTCTTTTAATGAGTAGTTGACTTATAAATTAATATAGAAGCTACCTTAAAAAACAAATTTATACATGCAAATTTATAAAATTTATTCAATTACCTTTGCAGATGATCCTTCAAAGTAATTACTTTTCACCAGTAAAGCAAATAAGTTTATTTGTATGTATTGATTTGGTTTAGGTCCAGAAGGCACTAGTAGAAGGCAAAATGGTTCCATGTATCAATTCAAAACCTTTTATATACTCTGAGTTGCTGATGACACTACCGGATCTGGTGACTCATTTCTTCCCCTCTGTACCTCTGAGCAGCTGCAGGCAGGTGCTACAGGATGTATTAGGCCTTGACCTCTATCGAGGAAACAGGTATGTGTTGGTTTGAAGTGTTTTTACAAATGGGATGGGGTATGGCTGTACACATATCTAACCTTGGCACTTGGCACTAATTGGGGTGAGTGATTAACCTCACATTGTGGCCTCTTTACTCCCTGAGGAAAGACCCGTAATACCAGTTTTCCATGTGAGCATTTATGACTGAGGTTTTTTCTGTGCAGAATTTTCATATGGGCTTTTGTCATGGAACCCATGATTTTGTGCATTATAATTTCAGGAATAAAAAATTATATTCTTTCATCATGTGATAAAGAGGTTTATGTTAGTTTTGCTGGTATGCAGGCAACAAATGAACATCCTGCGAGATTCAGGCAAATGTCAGAGTGTCAACGCTGTACTTCCGCTGGTGCAAGTACGAGACGTGATGCAGTTCATGCCACAAATGAAGTACATGTTCAGCCGGATGAATGCTGGTGGTGAGGAGAACCCTACCAAGCGCCAACGGACCAGCTAGGACATGTTCTGGCCCGGGTCCATGCCAGCAACAACAGCCTGGCATGGACATACTGGGTATGGGTGGCCACAGCACTATGGTTTGTAATAGCAATGTGAACTTCAAGCAAATTTTAATGCATAACCATAAGATGGTTGAATGGCTTCTTAAAAGAGTAATTCATCTGAAATTTATTCATATTTTAAATGAATTTTTTGTTTGAACTCAGTGACCAACTTCATGTGTAATTCCTATAAAGCTGTTTTAAGTTAATGAGTAATAAAATAACATTTCTGAATGATTTTTTATTGCTAAATTATGTGATGAGTGGTGTTTACTGTGGTTGCCTTCTTCCTTATTAAGATGCGGAAACGTTAATAGTTGTGCTGAGAGTCTTGTCACAGATTTTATCTCAGGAAGATTAAGGAACTTGTTAGTATTGTAGAGAAATAAATATGTTTATGAATTACAAACTTGGAATATTGGTTTTTAAGTTCATCTGATTATTGTTTGTCTTGGTTTGTACAGAATGTAGAATCAAGGCATGTCATTCCATAAGAGTCTGAAGCACATAAATAATCTTTAAAAAAATATAGTTTTGTGAAATTTAAATTTCACCTTTGTTGTTTGTTGCTTTAAGTTGTAATGCCATATTATGTGATTTATGACACTGTTACTTTATGACCTTGCAAATTATTCACACAATATATATTGGACTCGATTATTAGTGCATTTCTTTATGAATGTGCCATGCTATGACCATAAAATGTTCTTCGTTCTCATTTTAGAATTTTAAAGCAAGATAAAACTGCCTTTCTGTCTCTGGCAGGACAGTAAGGTAGGCTGCAAACCGGCATGCGTCAAGACATGTAACAGTCAAGACACGATGTCTGCGACATGACGCAAAGAAAGGAGCACAGTTGAAACGAATGAGTTTATGAAAACTGCCGCACACCGGTCTGAGTCATGATGCTGACGTCAGCTTCATGCTGCAGACGTGTGCAGGAAGACTCGGCATGTTCCTTTTCTGTGCGTCATGACTGAGACATCAGTACTCAAGAAACAGGATCAGTGTACGTTATCGACATGAGTGAAGAGCAAATAAATATTAAAATAGTGCAGACGGTTGAGAAATTCCTGGTAATATACGATTATTCGTCCCCGGGCCACTCAAACAAGGAGGAGGTTGATAAAGCTTGGCATGCAGTTTCAAAAGAAGTAAACATAGATGGTAAGTGCACTGATTAATTTTATTTTAATGAGCTAATGACTGAATTAACTATTATACACATTGAGCACAAGCTCGTTTTGTACAAGTCCGCTCTCACTCACACATAAAACTGGACGACGTCATGTCATCAACTAGAGAAGATGTGATAAGACGCAGACACGTGCTACTCCGGTGTGCGGACTCGAGTCTGAATCACGAATGAAGCAAGACTGCGTCTTTTGTCTCATGTCTTGATACTTGTCTTGACGCAGTTGGTGTGCGGCCGCCCTAAGAGTTCTGTAAGGCCTTTCTTCTGTTGTTGTATTTGGTAAGAAGAAATACAATTCATTTCTTTGAAGTCGTGATCATATACTTGCGTAGAAGTTCAACCTCAAGCTTGCTTCCTAAAGTTATGCACATCCCATGATTGTTCAGTAGGAAGAGTCATTTTAGGCTTGTATATGCAAGGAATTCAGGTACAAATTTAAACATTTTTAGACTAGTCAACACTGGCACCTGCTGGACTTACATTGTAATTAAATAAATTGAAGTCTGTAATATTCCACCTTACACATTTTTATCCTCTTAGCAAAATATAGCTCTCTGTAATTTAAAGTTTTAACAGGTACTGGAATTACACATAATACAGTATGTTTGTAAAATTCATTTAAGTTTGGACAACTTTTAGAAGAGTTACTTATGAATGAGCCAGTGCATTAAATGATGCTATAAGTAACGGAACTATGAACTCAGTTTACACATCATATGAAGAGTGCTAGTGTTTACCTTATAAGTGACAAAGAAACCTTGAATAGCGTGTGAAAGTGGCTAAAATTATCATGTACGCATATTGGATAGGATGTGTGGTAGATAAATCTTACGTTTATGGTGTAAATATTATGAGTTTCATCAAAACAAGTGCTTTTTTTATTGAATGTTTCATTTATTTATTTTCCAATTACATCCTACTCTGCTGACATACAATTGTAGGAGCTATTACTTATTAAATAAGCTGTCATTTATTGTGCTAAACTGTTCACATTTTTATCCTTCATTGCCTACATTTAATTTATTTTATGGCATTTAATCGTGAAACGAAACTAAATATGCTGCCTGATTATTCTTGATGGAAAGTCTTTAAATTTGAGAAAAGGTGGTAAGAGGTGAACAATGGTTGCATTATTGTTATGTGCAAACAGTACAATTTTGGTTACTAAAAAATGATTTATTGAAGTGTATATTTTGAATCCATTTTAATACAGGTCATTAGGTTAGTTTAAATGCATTGCCTTTGTGTTTTATTGTATATAAAAGTGCTCTTCCCCTATGTCATCAAAATTAAGTGCATATAGTCTGGCTTTATTAAAGATCCCTTATGGCAATCCAAGACACTGCCAATCTCCACCAAGATGCCAATTTATGTGCAGAAGCCCACACACAGTGTGACTGTTGATGTAAAGTAATTTATACACAAATATATGAAACTTGTGTTGACATATGTTCTGTTATATGCGCAACATTTTGCATTTTATTTTGTGCAATCCACCAGCCCAGTTAGCTCCTAGAAATGTGATTTTTTTTGTAGGCTAAGTTTAAATACAGTTTTATATATTATACAGGTAGGACTCGGTTTACACCGGTGTTAGGTTCCTGAGATTTCCGGCGTAAAATGAATCAGCGTAAATTGAAGCAAGAATATAATGGGAACATATGTAAATACATTAGGTTCCATTCCAAGATTTTCAGTAAACAACACAAAATATTTGAAAAATGTTTAATTTTATGAAATTTACGTATTGAAAATTGTATAATGTTTAAGAAAAAGAAAGAAAATTTACTGCTTTAAAAATGATAGAATAGATGTCTGTTTGATTTTTATCTTTTCTGATAATAAGTTACAGTATGGCTGTAGAACTGTCTCAATTCCTCTCTTAGCGGTTGAGCTCCGCTCCCATTTTTGGTCGTTGCTACAGAATATCTCACATCCCTTATTAATAATTGACTCATCACCCCATCCAATCGTGATGTATGAGAGGCGCAAAAGTGAAACAGGCATAAATTGAAGTGGCGTAAACCAAGTCCTACCTGTATTGGTAAGCTCAAGTTATTTAGTTATTTGTTACCGTTTTCTTAAGATTTAGTTTGTTGTTCAAAGTTTAAGAGGTTGTTTTATGATATACCACTCTATATGCATAGACAATTTTATCAGTACAGAATATGGAAATGTGACAATTTATGTCTCCCCAGAAACTCAGTTTTTTTTCATTCCATTTTTAATCCTTTGTTGGGTGTTGCTTAAAAGCAAACTCCAGGTCTAATTCTGTGCCAGCTTAATAAACACACATAATCTACACACAGTCTTCTATTTTGCATGTAATACTGGCAGCTATGGGTAATTTATTCAGTAACTCTAATACTTTCTGGTCATTATTACAGGCTGAGGAGATATGTGTTCTAAAGCAAAGCTGTCTCACTATATGCCATGTAGGCACTTGGGGGAGGGGGATATAGCTCCTAGTTATTCTTGACCTCAGCGCTAGATGCATCACGCCCTGGCAGCACTTTACCCCCAGGAAAGGACTCTGGTACCCATTGAATAGTAGGCTGGTTGGGGCCCAGAACTAGTCTGGATGCAGAGAATCCTCTGCGCCGTCAGGGATCGAACCTTGGTTGTCCAGTCCATAGCCAGTCACTATATTGACTGAGCTGCTCCAGCTCTTGATATGTATTCTAAAAAGTCTTTTAATGTTTTCAGTTTCATTTTATCTCTATCAAGAATAATTCTACTTTGAAATTATGCAGAAAATGAACCAAATATATTTACCACAAAAAATTAACCACAGTATATTGTGGGAAGTAGCCTGCTGAAAAGAAGGGAGTGGATTATGTTCTGTTAATTGAGTTTCCCCAATCTGTAGCTTGTGAGACTGTTTTGACACATGGTTGATATATGAAACAAGGAAAAGAAATGTGTCACATCACTGTTGAACTGTTTAAAAAAGTACAAAAATATTACCTGCTTAAAAGCATGTCTTGTAGTAAGATAAACTTATCTTAAATGCTTATGAAAATGACTCTCCTATTTGGTACACACTTATGAATTAGTTAGTCAGTAGCACTCGGAGCATTTTGTTCTGGGTTAGCATTCTGACTAGAGCATTTGCACAGTGTGTTGCAGGGACTAAGATATGGTACATTTTTTTCAGTACTAAAATAAATGGTAAACCTGTTCTAGTAACTGAAGTGTTCTTCCAGACAGTGCTTTATTTCAAAGCATAAATTTATATGTAAATGAATTCATAAATATGAATTAAACAGTTACAAGTAGCTGGGTAATAAAGATTCACACAGAATAAGGAGGCAGTTTTGTTTGGAGAGAGAAATGTTTAATGTTCATGATTTTTGTTTTGTTGAATTGGCATTGTTATCAGTAGATATTGCAGTGCAACATTTATCAGTGCACCACTGTTTTATCATGTAATCAAGGAAACTAAGGTAATTATTTCTCTTCACTGTTGAACCAGGAAACAACTTGCCATGTAGTTCTGTTAAACTTGATTTATTTTACAGAAGAATGTCAGTGCTACATCAGCTAAGTGGACCTCACACCTGGATGATATATTTTTAGAGTTAAGCCAAAACATGATGGTGGTCGTGTGAGTTGTCATGCTGTGTGGCTTGTGGGTGGATACCAACATTTCAGAGGAACTTACTGCCTCCAACTTAAAGGATGAAGCCCTGCAGGCCCACATGGCATCACAACCTAGAATACTGCCAACATGCTTCACTGCTGTGAGAACCTCAAGTCTTGCAAGCTGACCCTTGTTTTGAAATAGCATAAATTTTTGTATGACTTATTTTTCAGTTCTTGCATTGTATGAGAACTCTTATGTATGTCTTAAAAGTGAAAAATCTGATGGTTGTAAATCTGACAATTCTAAGTTTGTAACCTGTTTACAAAATGCTGTGTCTAATGCTATCATAGAATTATTCTTTCATATGAACGATGCCAGTATTATTCAAATATGGTGTTCAGAATCTACTGCTTCACCAAGACATACAGACCTCATTATTCTGCAGAAACTCATTGCTCATCCAGGTTCCAAATTTTGAATTACATGAAGGAATTCAGGAACTGCAAAGGGATTTTAAGCATTCCAGTACTGGCTCTTTGGAAAGTAACACCTTACCAGAATGGAAAGACAAGTAGTGAGTCAAGAAGTCTGCTGAAGAATGGTTCTTGAAACAATCTCTTAATACTTGTTTTCCGTTCTCTGAAAATTTACACTTAACAGGATTTCAAAAAGGAATTTAAGACCTTTAAAGTGGCTGAAAGATTGTTTTAAGCTTTCCATTAAAGTTAATAGGCCTATTACTGGAGGGGACATTGATGGTGATGATAACTGTAGTTTTGCAGGGCTATACCTTCAACAGTTTTATTGCATTGAGCAGCACAGTGCAATGATTTTTTGGGGAAATAGCTTTCATTTGGGTAGCATGGTCATCCATTGTCTCTTTTATCAAAACATATTGATTCTTTGATTTGGGCTATCTTTGGGTTGTTGCACTACCGTGTGGTCTGGTAATTTACTTGTTATCCTGACAATGGAGGCAACAAGCGTCCCTGAAACATTGGTAACATATACCAGACTACATGGCACAAGAACCCAGAAGGCAGCCATGTTTATACTTGCTGCCATGGGAACCAGAATTCCAAATTTCTACATTACTATTTATTTAATTTTGAGTGCTGTGTGGATAACATGTCAAGAAAGGAGTTTGTATGAAAGCTATTCTGCCATTAACTTAGGAATGAATGTGAAATATGTTACAATTTTTATGTGTATTGATACATTGTATAAAGTATAGGTAAAAGAAGGCTAAGGAATACATCTTCTGTTTAAATCCAGAACATTATTTAGTTATTCTTGTCTTTTTCAGCATCCCAAAAAGTTTATTTGTTTTATAATACTTTTTTAATCTGATCATATAGGATTTCTTTTGTACTAATTCTTGTACATAGAAAAGCCTCTTAAAAGAAGTTACATCATCTGTATTTAGTATGTAACTGGCAATCAGGTATGGATCCATGGAAAACCAGATCATTCCTGTATATTTGTGGGTCAAAGACAAAGACATTGTAGGATTCCATTAAATTATTCTTGAAGAATCTTGATCTTACTCTTTTGCCTTTATGTTATTCTGTATTTTATGGTAAAATACATTTGTCATATGTGGAAGTTTCTTGAAAAGCTGATCACACATTTGCCAACACAAACAGGTGAAATATTAGTTGTGGCTTTGAATTCACAGTTTTACATAGAGAAATAACAGTACTAATATTAACATTTATGAATTGTTGCATCTGAGAAAATTTTAATATTTTATGCAAAAGAAAGAAGGTGACAATTAACTGTCACTAAATAATTTGCAGTATAACCTGCATCAAATTGTTTGTTGATCGTTCAGTTTAAGCCTTATCCATCAGCATTTAGCAAATCAGTCACTTTCAGTTAGCATTTTAGTATGAATTTGTTTCACTGTGGAAAACTTATCCAGGAAGGTGGTGAGGACTGATTTCTGATAATGCATTGTCCATGTAAGCCTTGACTGGACTTTGAAAGCAGTTATTTTGGTGGTTTAGTAGTATGACTCCAGTATCAGTAACTGTTATTAAATTTATGAAAGCAATGCATATTGTATTTTGTATATGCAGCCATGACAATTGTTTAACTTTTATTAACACCAGTAGCTTTTATTTACACTTATAATTTGTAAGACTGATGTTTGCTAGATAGTACTGAAACATTTGTTATAAATTATGACTGAATAAAGCTGTTGGTGTTCATATAGATTAAACAGTTGCAGGCTATATGGTATGGTTGGGACATTAAACTATATTTATGAGTAAATATGTTTAACCAAAAGCCAGCAAAGCAGTAAAAAACTGAAGAACAGCTTGAAAATACACAAAGAGAAGAACTGGGAAACAGGAAAAGATGCCAAGGAACCTAAAGCAAGAAAGGAAGAAATCAAAGAATGTTGGTGAAATATGAACACATGAAACATTTGTTTAAAAGGACAAATTAAGAAGGAAAGTATCTTTTAGTATGTACATGTATAGTTTTGACCATTGCTTAATGAAATCTAATTGTAATGGAAACTTTGGGGAAAGAAAACAATAAAAAAAATTTATGTGCAATATTGTGTATATAATTCCTTTTACATGGGTTGTATTTTACATAAAAGCTTTCTCCCATGTTTCTAAATCTGAAATTGTATTTATCTTTTCCACATCATATACTTCCTGATTTGATCTGTCTAACATTGTATTTGCAGTCTGAATGGTTTTCTTTCTTGTGCTTCCATTTCTGTTACACTTGGGAGTTCTGTAGCAATCTGTTCTTTTTAATGTGCCCAGAATATCTAAGTTACTAGTTTATAAATTATCCTGTATATATGCTTCAATGTGGTCTCAAAATTCTGGGCTGTACAATATTAATAAATTATAATTTCTTT